CTCTGAGGCCACCCGCCGACCCCGGCCACTTGTACCCGGGTCCCACGGAGTTCGGGAGCCCGAAAGGCACAAAGGGGTCACGTGACGAAGCTGCCGGCAGCCATTTTGTGGTCTCAGTTGTCGGGTTGGGCCTTATGCTTCTGGAGACGGGAGCGGGCTGGGTGGCGGTGGGGGTGCAGCGCGCCGGGTGCTGTGGAGTACCCGCCTGCAGGCCGCTCCGCGGGCCGCTGGGTGGCGCTCTAGGGCCACCTCGGGCTTCGCGCGTCACTGGCGCCCGGGAGCTCAGGTTCTGTGCGCCGTGGGGGCGTTTCGCTTCCCGGTGGCCTGGAAACGTGGGGTTCCATGGGGCCCCACGTGGAGCCTCCTGGGGCTCAATCAATGTTGATTGCAGGCCGTTGAGGTTTTATCACCCTTCCCTGCAACGAAGTGTTGAGGGGACTGCGTGTTTGCCCGGACGACTTTCATACTAGAGGAGACTTACATTTTCTGTATCCTTGGCACTTCTGCATCCATTCCTCCCCAATTCTAGTTAGTCAGAGGATAATAAACTACTGTTCCTGAGTTTTTCTTTGATCTTTGAGAATGTGTTGCAGATTGTTGCAGTTTTTTTGTTTTGTTTTTGTCTTTTTTTTAGTACGCGGTTCGTCTAAAACCTGTAATTTTATTATCAGGTTTTGTTTTGCTTTTGTTTTTTAAATAAAGTTTTAAGTTCGCCTGCTTTCTAGTTTCTTATCACGGGGGTAGAAAACACGCACCTTAAGTAGACGTTTCAGATCGAAATTTCGAAAGAGTGTCCTTTCTTGTCCATAACAGAACTAAAATCTTAACGTTAAGATGTCTAATTTGGGTGGGTTTCAGTATTTAAATATTTACAGCTAATAGACATTTTATCATAGCTGTGGCTTTACTTTGTCGTGGAAGTTGGGTTCAGACATAAGGATAATAGAATCTTCATCTCATTTCCCCCAGATCCTTGACAGTATAATTTGATGACTTCTAAAACTAAGGAATTGCATACCTTGGTTTTCAGGTACAGCCATTTAAACAGGGTGCAGTGTATTGACAGTTCAAGGAAGTCGAGGAGTCGCTGGATTTGTGTCCTACAATTTTCTTGTGGAAAACTGTACTGTAATACCTCTATTTGGTACTGTAAGAATTTTAAATGTAGAAATTATGCTCTGTAATGTTGATTTTGAAAATAAAGCTGTTTAAACTGTTCGGGTTGTTTAACCTTTTAAAGTAAAACAGTTGTGACAGTTGCATGTTACTTTTGAGAATAGTGTCTTAAATCTAACTTTACAGATATGCTAAAGAATAAGTGATGTAGTAGTGGAGATTGTCAGCACATTATGAGACAGAACCTCTTATTTTACTTGTATCAACTTTAGTGCAGAATGGTGCCATTTGTTTATCTTTAAATAAGTGATGTTTTTAAAAATTAAAGTACTTGTGACTGCAGAATCTTGTCTTTTGGTTTTATTTTTGTTCCTGTTTTACAGATAATACTTTAAATTTATGGTGTTGCAGTTACACTGCCCTGGAAATTAATTTGTAGTTCTTGTTTTGCAGCCAAGGAAGGGGATAGCCTTGATAAAAGCAAGGTAGCACTACAGTACACTTTCGAAAGTTAGTTAAGTCACGCTTTAGTTAAAAGTCTTGAACAATCCAAGAGCTACAGTCTGAAATCAGAGTTGAGCTCAATTTAAATATCAGTATGCTTGTTAAATTTTACAGATTATTTTTGTGCACTGAAATGATCTTGACATTTTATAGTGCAATGGATATCATTAGTTTGTAACATGTGGAGTCCCTAGTTTTGAGGGACATAAAGAATTTCTTTTTTCTTTCACACTATCTTTTTCTGTCATCTGTTTAGAATTTGTTTCACTTCACGTCCAACTAAAACTCTGATCTGGGTAGCATAGACCTCAGGAATAATGAACTTAATAGAAGAAGGTGAACAGTACCAGGTCAACAGCTGCTTTCCAGTCCTGTGGTTCATGCCGGTAGTTAGCGGATGTATAAATCACAATATTGAAAGTGGCATGTTACACAATTATGGAAATGTATACTAAGAATAAAGGTAATTGAATTCTAAGTTACCCTTAGAAAAACAAAAACTTTTTGATAATTTACTGAAGCATGATATATTTCTTATAAGACAAAGGATTAAAACAAACTTTTGTCTTTAATTGACACATTAGTTACAGTGTCTTTTAGGTTGGAGTGACTGAGAACCTGAATTGAGTGTCTAGTTTAGAGAATATATAATCCTGTGTTGATCATCAAAGATGGGTGCAGATTTAGATGAGGACAGTTTTGTATACACCACCTCATTAAGAAAGCATTTCATGATCAAAATGTGTCTGCAAAATTGTCAAGTGAGCTCTAGTAATTGTTAACATATTTTGTTTCTATGGTAAACTTGACAGGAATTCTACATTTTAACACTGGGAAAATAACACTTCTTAATGTACTCCCATTTAACTAATTTTTATATTATAAACTTAACACAATGACTTAATTAGGCATATACCTCTTAATTTTAAGAAACTAGAAGTACCCCGTAAGTGAAATTTTCTCATCGTTGGAATTTAGTTGTTAGTCATTTTTTGATTGTTGTAGTAGGGACTTGATGGAGATCATAGCTGTTAGGTATTAAATGTCTGAATTGATATAATGTAATATGTTGTAGCTTGCTAAATCAAAAAGTAACAGTTGAAGGCTTTGATTTAATGAGTTACAGGAGTAATTTTCAAATCATAGGAAGTCAGTAGACTTAGCTGTAAATATGAGATACATGAGTCCCTTTGGGGGTTAAAAAGGATGGAAGTTAAAGCATTTTGGGAGGGGGCAGATGTTGCACCATTATAATATTTTAACTTTTTCTTAAGATTATATCTTTAAGGTCTTAACTTTAAAGTTAGAAGTGTTAAAATAGTAAGTTTAGTACCACAGTTTTACCTTTAATTGAAAGGGTGACTTTTTAAAATATATTATTAAAATTGGAGCTTTATGTTAAATTGTAATTCTCCTTTATGGATATTTCTCACTTTAGCAATTACATTCTGAAAACATTGGTTTTAAAGTGATATTTAACAAACGGAGCTACCTGGTTTCTATAATGGTTTAACTTCTTTCATAGGGATGGATAGGCTGTGTGGCTGCATTTATTATAAGGGGCAGAGAATTAACCTTTCTTGTCCTTGCTTAGACCTAGTTGGGTAGGCTATGTGATGTAATTAATAAGATGTTGATGGTATCACATTGATATTACCCTATACAGCCACCTTAGAATTGGGGTCTAGCCATCACAGTCCAACACCTAGGTTTCATTGGGTTCTAACCAGATGGAATAGTCTCATACACCTACGTTTTCTCACCTCTTAAAACTATTTTTCATTACTGGCCCAGTATAAAATCTTATTAAACCCAAGCTAAGGACCACTTACAAAGCAGACAGATGATTTTTTATCTTAATTAGGAGGAAATTGAAAATATGTACATATCTCTGATATGAGAAATAATTTTAAGCACTACATTTTCAGAACAACAAAAATCTAGTTTTTTTTTTTTTTAAAAATAAGTTTAAATTACTTTAAATGATAAGTTTAAAAGAATGATTCCTTTTGAGAGAAATTTCTTTAACATTTTGTAAACCAAAGTTTTTTGTTTGTTTTTTTGTGTTATGGCTTTTTTTAACCACTTGAGGATATTTTTTTTACATTGCTTTCAGAGAGTAGAAGGGAGGGAGGGAGAGAGACATCAATTGGTTGCCTCCCACCAGCACCCCAACCGGAGATAGGGAGTGAACCCGAAAACCAGGTACATGCCCTTGACTAGGAATCGAATCTGAGACCCTTTGGTGCACAGGCTAGGTGCTCTAACCACTGAGCAACACTGTCCAGGGCAAGGTTTTGTAATCAGATAAAATCACAGGTTGAGAAGCAATGATAAAATCTAGTTTCAGTTTTTTACCCTGACCAAGATATATATGTACGCATACGTATGTACATATATATTTAATCCTCACCCGAGGATATTTTTTCCATTGCTTTTCAGCGGGGGCCAGGGAACATCAATGTGAGAGAGACACATGGATTGGTTACTTCCTGCAGGAGCTCCAACCAGGGCCGGGGATTGATCCAGCAACCAAGATACATGCCCTTGGCTGGAGTTGAACCCGGGACCCTTCAGTCTGCGGGCTGACGCTCTAACTACTGAGCCAAACTGTCTAGGGCTCAAGATATTTTTGAATAGAAGTTGGGGTCTTGAGGGTTATATGAAAATGATTCTGGAACATGGTGGTTACCGTGATAAGCATGTAAACTTTTGTGATGGTATATTTTTCTAGGAAGAAAGTTCGTATTTGTCAGCAGTTTCTCAAGGCAGAGCTCAAGGATCTACTGTCCTAGAAGTTTCAAACGGAGTTTTTTTGGTTTTTATCAGAATGGCAGTTATTACATGGATTTAATAGGAGGACGTAATTGAAAACGGCTCAGAGACTAAGGACTCTTTACTGCAAAAGGAGTCTCTCAAAAAGTATAGTGCCTGAGTGCCTAAAGTGTTAATATTAGCTCCTGTTTCAGTGTACTATTTGATATTTAAAATTTTGGATTAGTACCATTTGTACTTAGACTTCGTTTTCTTATAAAACAGTAATAATGAAAACTAATGGGCTTATGTATCC